ATTTTTGTTCTGGGACACGCAGGCGTCGATGGAAATGAAAGAGATGACAGGTTGGCTGGATCCGCTATCACTACCGACGGTCAGCCTATGGATCATGCTGATATTATCAATGCCCTCAGAGAAATGGGAAGGATAGACGACTTTGGTGGCAGTGAATCCACATCACTCGCCAGAATGGCAGACTTGGGAATTAAGATCGGCACAGCAAAAAACGAGACGCACACCAGCTACGCCAGAAGACTTGTTAATCAACATAGAACTGGTACTATTAGCCATCGGACGTTGGGATTCATACTGAGGGGAGGATCTGAGCACCTATGGACATGTCCGGAGTGCAATGATGATAACCCAACTAACTAACTAACTAACTAACTGTTACAATGTGCTCTGAATTTACCTACACGTTTGTTGTAACAATGTGCACTGAATATACCTACATTTTTTGTTTTAATTTGCTCTAAATACACCTAAATGTTTGTTGTTACAATGTGCTCTGAATATATTTACATGTTTTGTTTTTAATTTGCCCTGAATACACCTAAATGTTTGTTGTTACAATAAGCTCTGAATATACCTATATCTTTTTTTTTTAAATTTGCTCTGAATACACCTAAATGTTTGTTGTTACAATGTGCTCTAAATATACCTACATGTTTGTTGTAACAATGTGCACTAAATATACCTACATTTGTTTTTTGGTTACAATGTGCTCTAATTACACCTAAATGTTTGTTGTTACAATGTGCTTTAAATATACATACATGTTTGTTGTAACAATGTGCACTAAATTACCTACATTTGTATTTGGTTATAATGTGCTCTAATTACACCTAAATGTTTGTTGTTACAATATGCTCTAAATATACCTACATGTTTTTTTGTTACAATGTGCTCTAATTACACCTACATGTGTGTTGTTACAATGTGCTCTATATATACTTACATTTTATAACGATTATAATGCTTGGTAAATTTTGGTGGAAATCAACTTAGGTTTGAGGTTTGATCGCAGTCTGTCCTACAAATGTTATGTGGAGCAGACTATGATCAAACGTGGGCCTAGCAGCACTGAAGACGATGCTCATGGAACAGAGATTATTGGTCTGATTGTTTAACCATTTAGTCCTTTCTGTAGTCGATTACGGCCTGGGAATATTAAACCCTATCTACTTCACAGTGTACACAGGTTAAAAGTATTCAAAATTAGGCAATGAGAAATGTCTTGGGTTGCAACACGAGACACCACATCATTGGTAAAATCTAGATTGTTACTGGCACATGCCGAGGCCTATATGTGAGTTACCAATGATGAAAGGTATCCGCTGCATTGTAATCTGGAAGATTTAGGAGGAGACCGGTTGAAAAGAGGAAGGTCATGGATGGCACTAGCTGAATATATCATCGAGACGGTGGCCTCAGTCAAGCAAATACACAGGGGGCAGGAATAGGTCAACACGAACACCCACAACAGCAGTTTCCAACAGGTCATCGTCACGTTAGGAGAATGAAGAGAGTGGTGATTTTGTTATCTACAATTTTAAGCGTTAGAATAAAAAGGGAGGCAATCACGCAGCTCTGAAATGGATAACAGAAAACAAAGTTAACAGAGGAATTATTGAGTCTGATTCTCAGTCGGCACTGCGGAAGGCTCAAAACAGACCAATGTGGCATGAGGGGACACCAGGCATTAGTACGCCAACATTGCAGGGAATCACGTGGATATACTCTCCGGGATATGCAGGAGTGCAAGGGAATGAAAGAGCGGATTATGTGGCTACAAAAGCGAAAGCCACGGGAACACTCGTACTGGACAAGGGAGATATTTTGAAGAGCATTTATAAACTGCTGACAAAAGACATGCGATTAGATGAAAAAAACGCATACAGAAATGTTGTTGTGAACGAGAAATTATGTATGGATCCGGCCAGGAGGGACGGATGAGAGGAAGAAAACGACGCACGAAAATCAGTGTGCCATGGGAACAGTTAGCATCTACATCTTGAGATACTTGCTTCGAGAGACCGAGCATTTATGCGTAGGCCCTGTGTGCTGTAATGTCGATTCTTAAATCAGTATTCCGTGGAAATCAACAAAATACTTAGGATAGAATTGTCTTTTGAAGAGCCTGTAGTCTGTTGTGAGATCATTTTCAGATACCCTCCAACTGTATTGATAGGGGTTGCTAATATCTTTGATTGTTTGTGGAAGTTAGTTTTACAGATGAGCTACAAAGTACGCCAAGTTTGTTTGGTACAAGTCTTTTCTAGGTTGAGGGATGTATAATGTGTTTAGGCGTTTGCTCTGTCACTGATTATATTTACACACACACACACACACACACACACACACACACACACACACACACACACACAGAGAGAGAGAGAGAGAGAGAGAGAGATAGAGAGAGAGAGAGAGAGAGAGAGAGAGTATGCTTGTTGTTTGCGTGTTGCGGTGCCCACACCACACCCCCTCTCCCTCCTTATTTTTTAAAAAAGATGTATTATTTATTGTTGCCTGCAAAGTTGAAAGGCCCATATTTATGTCCGTATCGTCAATAATTGTGTCGGATTTTCCCCAATTACGTTTTCATTTCCCGACATTTCAATCACTTGTAGCGTGATCACGTGACATCTATGTTTTAATTGAGCTCCAGTTTCAGGCTGATCCGCTGTGTGCTGGCAACTTTACACCCGGACAACACTTGCCTGTACGAGTCTACACTAGCGACAATCTGTTCGTGTGTCTGCAATAGCGTCACGACTTGTACGTCTTGTATTTCTTGACAGACAGGCAGACTGACAGACCTACGGTGAACGGACGGACAGACAGACAGACAGACAGACCGACAGGCATGCAGAAACAGTACAGGCAAACAGACAGACAGACAAGCGGCGGACAGACGGACGGACACAAAAACAGACCGACAGGCGTGCAGAAACAGTACAGACAGACAGACAGACAGACAGACAGACAAACAGACAGACAGACAGACGGTGTGTGTTCAGACAGACAGACAGACAGACAGACAGACAGACGGTGTACGATCGGACGGACACACAGACAGACCGACAGACATGCAGAAACAGTAAAGGGAAACAGACAGACAGACAAGCGACGGACAGACATACAGACAGACGGTTTACGGTCGGACGGACACACAGACAGACCGACAGACATGCAGAAACAGTAAAGGGAAACAGACAGACAGACAAGCGACGGACAGACATACAGACAGACGGTTTACGGTCAGACGGACTGACAGACAGACCGACAGGCATGCAGAAACAGTACATGCAGACAGACAGACGGACAGACATACAGACAGACAGACAGACAGACAGACGGACAGACATACAGACAAAAGGTGTACGGTCGGACGGAGAGCCAGACAGACAGACGGTGTACGGTCGGACGGACACACAGACAGACCGACAGGCATGCAGAAACAGTACATGCACACAGACAGACAGACAGACAGACGAACAGACATACAGACAGACGGTGTACGGTCAGACGGACAGACAAACAGACAGACGGTGTACTGTAGGACGGACACACAGACAGACCGTCAGGCATGCAGAAACAATACAGGCAGACAGACAGACGGACAGACATACAGCCAGACGGTGTACGGTCGGACGGACAGACAGACAGACAGACAGACAGACCGACAGACATGCAGAAACAGTACAGGCAAACAGACAGACAGACAAGCGGTGGACAGACGGACTGACAGACAGACGGTGTACGGTCGGACAGACACACAGACAGACCGACAGGCATGCAGAAACAGTACATGCAGACAGACAGACGGACAGACATACAGTTAGACGGTGTACGGTCGGACAGACAGACAGACAGACAGACGGTGTACGGTCGGACGAACAGACAGACAGACAGACAGACGGTGTACTGTCGGACGGACACACAGACAGACCGACAGGCATGCAGAAACAGTACATGCAGACAGACAGACGGACAGACAGACAGACAGACAGACAGACAGACAGACAGACAGACAGACAGACAGACAGACAGACAGACAGACAGACAGACAGACAGACAGACAGACAGACAGACAGACGGACAGACATACAGACAAAAGGTGTGTGTTCAGACGGACAGACATACAGACAGACGGTGTACGGTCGGACGGACAGCCAGACAGACAGACGGTGTACGGTCGGACGGACACACAGACAGACCGACAGGCATGCAGAAACAGTACATGCAGACAGACAGACAGACAGACGAACAGACATACAGACAGAGGGTGTACGGTCGAACGGACAGACAAACAGACAGACGGTGTACGGTCGGACGGACACACAGACAGACCGTCAGGCATGCAGAAACAATACAGGCAGACAGACAGACGGACAGACTTACAGACAGACGGTGTACGGTCGGACGGACAGACAGACAGACAGACCGACAGGCATGCAGAAACAGTACTGGCAAACAGACAGACAGACAAGCGGTGGACAGACGGACTGACAGACAGACGGTGTACGGTCGGACAGACACACAGACAGACCGACAGGCATGCAGAAACAGTACATGCAGACAGACAGACGGACAGACATACAGTTAGACGGTGTACGGTCGGACAGACAGACAGACAGACAGACGGTGTACGGTCGGACGGACAGACAGACAGACAGACGGTGTACTGTCGGACGGACACACAGACAGACCGACAGGCATGCAGAAACAGTACATGGAGACAGACAGACAGACAGACAAGCAGTGGACAGACGGACATACATACAGACAGACGGTGTACGGTCGGACGGACAGACAGATAGACAGACAGAAGGTGTACGGTCGTACGGACACACAGACAGACCAACAGGCTTGCAGAAAGAGTACATGCAGACAGACAGACAGACAGAGGGACAGACAGACAGACAAGCTGTGGACCGACGGACAGACATACAGACAGACGGTGTACGGTCGTACGGACACACAGACAGACGGTGGACGGACGAACGGACAGACATAATGATATTGTGGTAATTGCCAATATTTGTAAGGTTAAATCTTTGAATGCAATCAGTAAGTATATTTTATAATGGTGTTTTAAGTAGTCACGCAGCCATTAAAAAAATCCTTAGTGAAGTCAATGAACCATTTCAAAGATATTTCATATCCAATAAATCAACTACTTAATATATATGTGTGTGTGTGTGTGTGTGTGTGTGTGTGTGTGTGTGTGTGTGTGCGTGTGCGCGCACGCGTGGTGTGTATGTGTGTATGGGGGGTGGGGGGTCTTTAAATTAGAAAATACCTGCCTGTGTTTACCGCGGACATCGGACACCAGTAGGTGACTGTCGCATGACTGCACCACACCCCTCTGTTCTTAGACCTGCCCACATCTTGTACACCTTTATGTAAACGAGCTATTTTCAAATCTTGGACTTTCTTCCATAAGTACTCTCATTAAGTGCTCCATTTGTACTTATGTGTCAAGATGTCAAGATAAGTACTTATTTCGTACCTAAATCTATTAAGAGTGAGTTATATTATGAATTCACTCACAGGTAAGTGATTTCTAAGAGTAGCGAGGTCTTATTCCATCGGCCGAACTACCGCCTGTTCGCGAAAGGAATTCCTCCTGCTTCTAACTTGAGCAAGTCCCAAATTCAAATCCCTATTCTTGGCTCAATCTCCAGAACATACAGACGGGTTTTGCCCTTGTCTTGAAGATCTTCAGCGCCACCTTTGGAAGTATCCTATTCAACTGGGAACTTCCACTGAGCATGGGATGTGTGTTGACCTCTCCAGAGGAGTGCCAGAATCACCAAGCATGATGCACCAATGTCTGGCAACTGTATCTCATGTCGTATTCAAAACATCTACCTCGAGACATTACAGCAGTACGGAAGAAGGTCTGAAACCAGTCTTTGTGGTGAAGCAAGCAGAGTATCCACGATGTGCTCTTCTTGCTAGACCCAGCCAGAGGGTTGTACATTTATTCGCGATCTTAAACAAGCGTGTTTTGTTAAACGAACCGTTCCCTATTGTTGAGCTTGACATTTTGTATAAGAAAATTCTGCACATTTTAGTGATAATGTTAGCAATTGAAGTAGGAAACAGACTGGGTACTTTTGAACAGATAAAGCAAGGAGTATGACAAAGATGTGTCTTCTGCCAGACTTTTTCTCTCTATATAGTGAATTAACTTTTAAGGAAGTTAAAGAGAAAGCAGTAATAAAAGTTGGAGGATACAATAGAAACAATTTGCGTTATGCAGATGATACAGTTTTGATAGCTGAAAATGCAGCTGATTTACAACAACTGCTGGATATTGTGGGGATAGAGAGTTCCAAAAAAAAAAAAAAAGACTTTCATTGAGTATTAAGAAAACGGAAGTAATGGTTATATCAAAGAAGAAGACAAATCCATGTTGTGATATCTTAATTGAAGGAAAAAGACTAAACCAAGTCAATAAATGCAAATACCTGGGAACAATCATACCATCAGATGTGTGACAGAGATTAAAAGCAGAATAGGTCAAGCAAAAGCTGCATTTCAGAAAATGAAAAATTTCTTATGCAATTAATCGCGCCCATCTAATGTCAGAAAGAGGGTGCTAAACTGTTACATAGAACCTGTTCTGCTGTATGGCAGGGAACCTTGGAATGTCAGTGCACAAATTAAGAAGAATTTGTTTACTGTCTAGTCTGGGGCTTCTAAGTGGTAAGGAGGTCAGGCTAAGTTCTGCCCAGGTATATTTATTATTGCAGTGGAAATCATAATTTGGGTCGCCTCACCCCTGAAGTGATGTTGGGGGCTAGGAAGTACCTTCTAGACCAATGCGAGCCACCATCTAACATCAAGTCACTTCAGAGTGTCTTTGTTTATTAGGGGAAACCCTACTAAAGACAACACGACAGGCGCGTCAAGTGACAGCGACAACAGTTCTTAGTCAATATCAGCAGGTTAAGTAATTTGATGTGTGGACAATAACAAATGTCTAACGCTAACATAGTTATATGACCTAAGAGTAGAGCATAGCGAAGCACGTCTATGCCAAGATAAGGGGCATTTAAACAGACTTCTCGCGGGAACAATTATCTGGGGTAACTGCGGCCTCGAAAAAGTTAACACTCAAGGGACTGCTTATGTGCAGAAAGATCTATTGTAACAACACAACAACAACATGTACAACTAAGCTGTAACTGCTAACAGCACTAGCTAGTAGTATGTTTACGTAGGGCTGGAAAACGTGGACGTGAACAACTGAACTCGACAAGAAGATACCAGTACTGGAAAGGAGATCGTTCAGAAACATTATTTGCATATCATACAAAGACAAACGAAGAGGTTCGTTGTATAAACTGCTGCGTATAGGCAACAATAAACGTCTTTTAATTAACTACGGTGCAAAGGCAGAACATGTGATGGTGCGGACGTGTAATAAGATCTAATGAACACTCAAAAACAATACTATAGGGCTCATTAGTGATAAAGAGGAGAAGAGGCAGGCCAAGAAAGACCTGGTTACAAAACCTGAGTAACTGGAAAGGCCTTAGGCATACAACCATGTATTCCAGGGGGCTTCTTGATCTCGAGGCATATTGTCCGCCTCGAGTGCTAGAGGTTAAGGGTTCAATCTTCTGTAAGGGCTGGGATTTTTTTACGTGGACTTGAACTTCTAGTAATTCCCACTGGTCTCTGGGTAGTCCCTGTAGCAGTCAACTTGTCCCCGTTGCTGGGGCACAGGTTGCAGCCAACTTGTCCCTGTTGCTGGTTCGCACACTGCAGTCAACTTGTCCCTGTTGCTGGGGCGCCGGTTGCAGTCAACGTGTCCCTGTCGCTGGGGCGCAGGTTGCAGTCAACTTGTCCCTGTTGCTAGGGGCGCAGGTTGAAGTCAACTTGTCCCTGTTGCTGAGGCGCAGGCTGCTGTCAACTTGTCTATGTTGCTGGGGCGCAGGTTGCAGTCAACTTGTCCATGTTGCTGGGGCGCAGGTCGCAGTCAACTTGTCACTGTTGCTGGGGCGCTAGTTGCAATCAACGTGTCCCTGTCGCTGGGGCGCAGGTTGCAGTCAACTTGTCCCTGTTGCTAGGGGGCGCGGGGTGAAGTCAACTTATCCCTGCTGCTGAGGCGCAGGCTGCAGTCAACTTGTCCCCGTTGCTGGGGCACAGATTGCAGCCAGCTTGTGCCTGTAGCTGGGGCGCAGACTGCAGTAAACTTGTCCATGTTGCTGGGGCGCAGACTGCAGTCAACTTGTCCATGTTGCTGGGGCACAGGCTGCAGTCAACTTGTCCATGTTGCTGGGGCGCAGGTTGCAGTCAACTTGTCCATGTTGCTGAGGCTCAGGTTGCAGTCAACTTGAGGTTGCAGTCAACTTGTCCCTGTTGCTGGGGCGCCGGTTGCAGTCAACGTGTCCTTGTCGCTGGGGCACAGGTTGCAGCCAACTTGTTCCTGTTGCAGCGGGGCGCGGGCTGCAGTCAACTTGTCCACGTTGCTGAGGCGCAGGCTGCAGTCAACCTGTCCCCGTTGCTGGGGCACAGGTTGCAGCCAACTTGTCCCTGTTGCTGGGGCGCAGACTGCAGTCAACTTATCCCTGTTGCTGGGGCGCCGGTTGCATTCAACTTGTCCCTGTCGCTGGAGCGCAGGTTGCAGTCAACTTGTCCCTGTTGCTGGGGGCGCAGGCTGAAGTCAACTTGTCCACGTTGCTGGGGCGCAGGCTGCAGTCAATAGATAGATAGATAGATAGATAGATAGATAGATAGATAGATAGATAGATAGATAGATAGATAGATAGATAGATATATAGATAGATAGATAGATAGATAGATAGATAGATAGATAGATAGATAGATAGATAGATAGATAGATAGATAGATAGATAGATAGATAGATAGATAGATAGATAGATAGATAGATAGATAGATAGATAGATAGATAGATAGATAGATAGATAGATAGATAGATAGATAGATAGATAGATAGATAGATAGATAGATAGATAGATAGATAGATAGATAGATAGATAGATAGATAGATAGATAGATAGATAGATAGATAGATAGATAGATAGATAGATAGATAGATAGATAGATAGATAGATAGATAGATAGATAGATAGATAGATAGATAGATAGATAGATAGACTTCTCACACGTTCATCGACCAGAGTTCGGCGCCTTCAGTTCCACATCGCCGCATAGATGGATCTGGTCATTGCATCAAGCTTCACACAACTTGGCTTGGCTGGACTTGGCTTCGATGGATGTTGTCGTCTGGTCTTCCTTTTGCAACAATCATTTTCAAGTTCTCATTCTCACGAACACTCTCACATCCTCTCGTTCTGACGGTCAACACATACTAACTAATCATCTTCTTCTTGTTATTCGCGTTCACCAGCTGTACACTCTGGCGGAAAGTTCTGGTTGCTCGTCCACTACTGAACTGCAGTCCTGCTCCAGAACCTGAGTGTTGCGTGTGCGTCAGTTTTACAGATCTCATTCTCTTGAATACAGATTGTTGGTTTATTGCTTCTCTGGCAGATGCACTCCAACTTCAAAGGGAGCTCCCCAGTTAGTCGACTCTTACGACATGCTTTTGGGGAGGCAGTGGGTCTATTCTTGTTTTCCCCACAATGGGGTCTGAGCTTATACCCATTGTTCGTTCTACGTGGCAACACGTGGTTGTTCCTAGGTTCCATGTGGCGACCTGGGGTCGTTCTCCTTG